AGAACATCCACCAATTCCCAAGTTTGATTTTTATTAAGGGCATTAATCTCCTCCTTCATAGCATCTGTCCATTCAGGGCATTTTAAGGCTTCTACAACATTTATGGGAATAGGAATGCAATCAACTGCAGATAGAAAGGCTCAGTATGAGGGGGAAATGTGATCATAGGAGACATACTGGGTAATGGGGTGTTTGGTAGTGCATGACCCGACTCCCTTTCTTTGAGCAATAGGAATGTCAAGGTCATCCATAGTGGGAGTAGGAGTATCAGTAGGTGCAATAGGGTTTGGACTTACCTCCTGGAGTCTAACAGTGTCGATTGCTCAATGTTTGGCTGCTCCACATCTCTATCACATTGCTGATCTCTACGGCGTGTACGTTCGAAGACACGAAAGGGAGCAAGGTCCGGAATAGAAGGAAGAGAGACTTGGCGGACCTGAACCTGCTTCTCCTCTTCCACACTACTACTCTCCCCCTGAGAAGCAGGGAAGAACGGTTCAAACTCAAAGAAGGACACATCCATAGACACAAAAAACTTATGACTAACGGGATCAAAGCACCGATACCCTTTTTGAGAGGAGGGATACCCCAAAAAGATACAAGGAATGGACCGAGGGTCTAACTTACCTCGAGACAAAGACAAATCATGGACAAAGGCACGACAACCAAAAACTCTCATGGGAATAGAAAATAAAGGGGACTGAGGGAACAACAACTGATGAAGGGCCATGTAGTTCAGCACTCTAGAGGGCATGCGACTGATGACATAAACAGCTGCAAGTATAGCATCCATCCAAAACCTTTTTGGAACATTCATGTGTAACACCATCCCACGAGCTACCTCAAGGAGGTGTCTATTTTATTTTCTGCAACACCATTTTGTTGTGGTGTTCTTGCGCATGAGCTCCTATGAATAGATCCATGGGAGGCAAAGAACTCATTGAGCTCACCATGGCAATATTCTTTTGCATTGTCTAATTGGAAGATTTGTATTTCATCATGGAATTGTGTAAATACCATCCTCTAGAAGTCTTTTACAATCTTTGGAACTTCGTCTCTACTATGCATAGGGAATACCCATGTATAGTGAGAGAAGTCATCGATCAATGTGATAAAATACTTATATCCGCCCTCAGAGATTATAGTAGTAGCCCCCCATACATCAGAATACACAACATGAAAATGAACACTTGATCTTTAATTATTTGAGTGAAAAGTTGTTCTACATTGTTTGCTCAACTGACACGTTTGACACTGGAACTCGGACACTGAACACGACTTAAATAAAACCGGAAACAAAGACTTTACCATTTCAAAAGAAACATGACCTAACCGACTATGCCACAAAAAAATTTGACTCTTATTTGATTGACTATATGAATCTGAGGATGACACCGAGAGACCAACTTTGTTGTCGAGAATGTAGAGACCATCCACTAGGTTCCCTCTACCAATCGTCCTCCCAGAAGTTAGATCCTGAAAAACACATGAACCAAGAAAAAAGGTTACACTATAGTTTAAAGAGTTTGTGATACTACTGATTGAAAGCAAATTTACAGGAAGTTGAGGGACATGCAATACCCAATTCAGGTTAAGGCCATGGGGAAGAGATATTGATCATTGGCCTGCAATGGAGGAGAATGATCCATCCGCAAGCCTCGCTTTATCCCTTCATGACAAAAGGCTATAAGTCTGAAACAAGTTCGGCTTACTGGACATGTGGTTAGAGGCTCCTGAGTCAATGATCCAAGGGGAACCAAGGGTAGTAGTGACATGGAATGTAGAAGCCGCATTACCTGATATAGATGTAAATGAAGTAGGAGTACCAGTGACTGAACTATCCATCTATCGCAAAGCCCTACCATATGACTCCAAGTGGTCTCTGAAGGAATTCATGATATCTTCCTTGGGGTCAGAATTAGTAAGGTGGTCCCGGGTAGTACCAGCAACCTGAGTATCTTGGGTTGCCACATGTGTTGCATTATGTGTTGTGTCCGTCTTCTTCTGACCTTGCCCTTTACCCTGTTCTTGGCTCTTCACTACCCACATGGGTTTCCCGTGAATGTCCCAACATGTGTCACATGTATGTCATGAGCACCGACAATGGGTACAAAACAACTTGTCTTTATCATTAGACTTCTTGGTGTCACTTTTCTTCCCCATGTTGTTATTACTCATTGCAACCAATGCAACTTGTTGCTCCCCCTCGGTTGTAACCATCACACTCCACCTACTTTCTTCAGATTGAACAAGGGCATATACCTCGTGAACCGACGGCAACTCTTTAATTCCTAAGATCTGAACTCTCAAGGGTTCATAGACAGGGTTGAGTCCCAACAAGAAGGCAAACACACGCTACTGAGAAACCAGCTTCCTGTAGACCTTAGCATCATCATCATGTTTCCACTCTATAGCCTGATAATGACCCAATTCTTTCCATACGGATGTAAGGGCTGAATAATAGGTAGACAAACTACGATTTCCCTGTTTACAGGTTGAGGATTCAGCTTGCAACTGGTAAACCTTGGCATAATGCCTTTGCTCAGAATAGGTGGTTTTGGCCTGTTCCCAAATCTCACTAGCGGTGTTTGCCCACATAAAG